GGGTAATTGAAGTTATTCCTTGTGGGGTAGCATTTTTGCCATGGAAGTAGTTTTGTCACAAATTTGGAATTTTTCCAGCTGCTTCACATCCTGCCTCATCTACTTTCCTTCATTTGATCGTGGAAGTGCCGGGATATGCACCTTCATTTGTCAAAGGCAAGCATCGGCAGCCTTACCCCAGAGCGGCGTGTGTCCAATTAAGGGGTGAATATTAAGTCGTTGTTTCTCGCCCTTAATGGCATTAGGTCTGTCAAATGGTGGACAGGCAAGGATGATGGCTGCGTCATCAACAAAGATGAGTTGTGTCACTTGTAGAATGACTGACACTGCAGGGTCGCCAGAATGCAAGGTTTTGAAAAGATTAACTACCGTGACCAAGCATTATGAATTTATTTCTTCCATGTGGGCAAGTCAGTTTCCGAACTCTTAAAGAAATTTGTTTAGCAATCAACCTGAAATACGTACAGCATGCATATTTGAAAAGCGTCATTGCATAGTGCACAGGGGAACCAGATGGGGGAGGCCAATCCCGAAGATGGTTGAATGCAAATTTGCAAAAGAACTACGCGGCCTCCCTGTGCTGAAACTAGCGACTGTGTTGGTGACAGCGTGAAGCAGTCGGGAATGCATAGTTTGCCCAAACAGAATTATTCATACATCCCGTAAAGAATCTCGTTTTACAACTGGGACTGATATCTAAGCACGTTTACGCGCAACACGAGAGCCAGGCCGAAGCTCAAATCAGTCCGCACTCGCCAAGGTTGAGTTTGCTTTTTATCGCGCTGTTATTATCAAAGCCAAAAGAGGCCAAAAGTTTCAACCTTTGTAATTACATGTATTTGGATACGTGTCATGGGTAGACGCGAGGTTCAACAGTTTTTGGACGAAAATTAAATTCCAATCGAAGAGATACTTTAAATGTGCTTAATTTTAAATCTGAGGATCTTGCAAAGATCGGGGGAAATCGATGCAAAGTAATGAACCTACGCAGTATCCCTTTTTCTTTATCTAGCTGCCAATTTGTTCGCCCGTTGACCCATTTGGTGCTGCGGTTGCAAAAGGATAACGGCAGATATACCAATGTTAGAAGCGGGATTATCTCGATTTTCTTATTCAATGCTGTCATTGTTGCCATAGGGACCATATAGAATTCTCAGTTTGAGGATTCTGCAGGCAAACTCGAAGGCTGACTCTTTTAAACTTTAAGGTTTTTGTTGTTTCGGCCACTGTAACTTGCCCGTTTCTGACCAGTTACAGAAACGACCCTGAAGAAGAAATTCGTCTTTTCATTCCCAAATTATGCCCGGGAGCAAAGAATCCAATTGTGATTTGTGCGAGGAAGGGTATTTGATAAAGCAACTCAGAAAAGGGAACTAAGATTTATGTTGACCACAACGCCAGGAGGGTGTTTTAATCAGAAATCATTACCAGTGCCATGTAGTTGTTTTGATGTTTTTTGTGTAAAATATATGCAATATCTGTAGTTACCAAAGAAACTTTACCAACGGTGTAAATCTCCATACATGTATAGCCAATGGCTCCATTGTGTCTGTTATTTAATTTATTCTACCAAATTAGCCTGATTTTTTCTAAAGATGCAAGAGAAATCGTGTTCATCGATCGGCAAAGAAACATATGCAAGCACCATTAATTATGAGACCAGTGAGGTTACAAATTTATGACACCCTATTTGCCAATTTCTTGGGGCCTACTCTAGGAAAATGTGGTGTTATCTTGATGAGAAGCAAAACGAGCGCAGTTGATTGGTTGATAACTGTCGGCTTACACCGACTGTGTCGCACAAAAAGCTTTGCTTCCTGGACTCACCAACTTCAGGGCTAACTGAACCACAGAAAACCCTACGATATTCACAGCGCAAGTCTACCTACAGATAAGCACCACTATGCATGCAGATTCACTGGGATGCTGGGAGTCAGCCCACTCTCGTTAACCACAGAACGGCAAGGATAATCTGGGGTCAATCCAAGTAAATCGTGTAGCTTAACATATTACTCGCGCCTATCACAGACTCTGTAACACTAGTATTACTATACGTGTGAAAATACGAGACGGCACAAAACAATTGAACGAACTGAACACTTTTTCTGTATCAAACCATTAGGAACACGTTTCCATACAGTGTTGGAAATCAAATCCTGTAGAATGCAGGGCGAAATTTGTAATGCTTCCTATTTTCATTAAATGTAAATAAACAGTTCAATATTTTCAGCACACAGTAATAGATCGTACAACCCTTATCACTGACGTCATGCACGGTTTACTATTCTACTCCAGTCATATTATTTTGGTAATAAGAGCAGTCCAAAACAATTCGCGTACACCAAGCAAAAACAAAGAACCAGTTGCAGAAACTAGGCCAAAGTGGTTTTTTCCCCTCTCGTGATTTTTTGAACGGGTCCAGTCACATGCTAGTACCGAGGTGCCGTAAGGAGGGCCCGCCTGCGACCGTGCCAGGCCCGTGCCATCCTGAGTCCGGCGTATGTCCTCTGGTAGCATCCGCCCCAGAACCAACACAGATTTCTCGGCGTTTGTCACGTTCTTTGCGTTCCTTCTGGCAGGCGGGCTGTCAGATTGGGCCATCCAGTGCTGCCCAGTGACAGGGCGGAAACGTGAACGCTGAAAGCAAGCGCTTATTAGGGTCACGAAGCCCGAGTTAGGACTAGTTCGAGCGAGACAAGGCAGGCAAATTGTCCTACTTTTGCGTAACAGTTGTGTATTTGGGCTTGCTTTGTTTTTCCTGTGGCCAGGCTCAATATTGTAGGCAGGAGAAAAGGAAAAGGCAATGTTAAAAAGCGCGGGAATGGAAACTATTGACTGAGTCTCAAGCTTCTGGACAGTTTTTTTCTTTACC